AGTCTCCAGAATAAGATTTGTTGCTAAACAGAACTAGATTTGAATGTGGGGATGTTGTGCAAAGTGATGGGAAACTTGATTTGGCTGCATTTTGCCCCAATATTTTCCCTGTCCCGTTGGCACACAAGGTCCCTACCTACCCCTAGAAGGGATGTGGTATGTTGTTTAGGAACCCACAGGCTCTCAGCACAAGTGAGAGCCCAAACTGATCAAGTGCTGTGCGTCTTTGCAATGGTAGTGGGATTGGTGGCTGATTAAACTATTGCTATGTGGATGTTCCAGCTGTTGACCTGTGTGTACATGTATAAGAGAAGAGCTATGGTGCAGTACAAATTATTCTAGCCAGAGGTATAACATGCTGTAAAACATTCCACGTGACACCTGTATTATGTAGGCAAGTGTAATTTTACCTAGTTCTTCAGGTAAGGGTCTGAGGCATGGAAAGTTTAGTTTCTTGCTTGAGGTCATGGGCTGGGGGGTGCCTGGAATCATCTCAGTCCAGTTACTAGAAAACACTACCTCTTTAATGCTAAAGGATACAGTTGGTTATTCTTTGAAATGCAGGTAGTCAATGCACAGTCCAGCATGTATTTTCTTCCACAAGAAGTTATACATTGACTAGTTTCACTAATAAAGATTCTCATTAGGTAAGTGTTACCAGAGATGAGAGGTCACTTTGTTTTCCAGTGGCAAGCTCCTGTGAATCTAGCTGACTTGTAGAGATGCTAATGCAGTTCTCAGTTATAGAAAGCTTTTGATATTCCTTGTCTAGCTTTTCCTTTAATTTCAGAGAGGCTCTCTCCACCTTAATTCTGGTGTAGGAAGTCCAGACCTGGAGATAGCTTTCCAGTTTCATAAAAGGGCAGTGAGTGGGCTGCACTGGCTGAAGAAGCTTGATTATTAAGGTGCCAGGTGAACTCTGCCCTGTTACTTTGGACATTATGCATGTGCTGACTGCTTTAACAGCAGTCTGTTTTCTTTGTCCTGAATATCCAAACTGGAATTTCCGTTTGACTTTCTCAAACAGCCCCTTTTTCAGTGGTGAGCCAAATCACATTCCAGATTTGAATGGATCCCCAATTAATGTTTTTAGAATTCAACTCTGGAGATGAATATTTCAGCAAGGGCCTAGCTGTCTGCACATTTCTGTTCCTCACTGATCCTCTAGATAGCAAAGAGGAAGAGGCAGGGAGTCAAAGATAGATGAGCTGTGATTTTTTTTTAAAGAGGTGACTGACTTCTAGGTATCTGAATATTATGTAGAGTCCATCCTATGTGAAATGGCAGACATCCTGGGTACTCTGGGAAATCACAGCCTGTCTGCTGACTGCTGCCTCTGGCTGATGCTTGACTTTTTTCTAATTATCCCAGATTAGGTGTTTTGTTTGTCTCCTTCCCCCTCAACTGTCTCTGCACTTTCTTCCACACCACACCTCATACTTGAAAGGCCCTCCCATTAACAACAACAACAAAAAAAGAAATGTTCAACCTTTCAGAGTATTTTTCCTTTCCTCCTTCCATTCTTCTGCCATTGTCTAAAGCCCCAGTTTTGCAAGTTACTCTTTGTTGCTTTCCAGGAATGCTTGTGCAGAGCCATACTCTAAAGACACTAGGGTCTTAATGGTGGACTTTCTTAAATGGCCAGCTACCTTTTCAATTGAGTTATCTTTGCACTTTCAATGTACCCAAGATCCTGTGATCCTGGCACCACCTATGAACAGAGCTATGCAAATAAACTCGTTTCCCAATAGGACTGTAAAACTACTAGTAGAGGATAAAAACTTTCAGCTGCCATCCACATGGAAGAGGGTAGTGATCTCTGCAGTCCTGAGCTCTCCCAGATTGTCCAGGGGGACAGCAATTCCAGATCTCCTCAGGGAACAGATTTATTACTGAATTCTTGTATGTCCAGGGCTCATCCAAAGCAGCATAGTACTTCCATAGACATGGATTGTACATAATTAGTGTGCTGGCCCCAGGTTCTTTTGCAGGGGGAACTAGAACTTCTGTTGACCATTGCAACTGGGAGGTGGTGTGCAGAGGCACACAACAGCACTGGGGGGGCAAGAAACTTCGTTCCAGTTAGGCTGCCTTGTGTTAAGGGCCCAAAGTAACTTGAAAGCTATTAACTGTAGATTGTGCTGAGTTCTGGCATAGAATAGCACTCAAGTGACCACACCAACTGCCGTAGCTCTTAACTAGGAATTCTGGGAGGATGATGTATTTTGGGGTAATACAAGCATGTCTAGGCCAATTTCTATGTCCCAGCTGCAGAAACAGCTTCTTAGGATCTGGGGCAACTAATGTCATAAAGAGCAGATCTGAGGCTATTCTACTTTATACCAGAGACTGGCATCATAGCTGCTGCAGACATCCCCTGGAGCAAGAAATGTAAAGCTGACTCAAAGTTACCTTTCTTCTACATCTTCGTACTGCACCAAGAACAAGCCCTTGCCTTGAGAATTTTAATATTTACCTAGGTTAATGTCTCTTTTTTGCTAGGATGTAGTCTGGAGAAGGATTCAGACCAGAATGGTCCTCAGACCTAGGCTGCTCCAAATGATCAGCCAGAGAGAATTGAAATCACATCTCTGATGCCAAATCCACTGTGGCGAAGTGGGAGGTCCCTGACCAGTTCCAGTGCTGGTTTCCCACTGCCTCTGGGCATGCTACCTGCCTCTCTCCTGCCACGCCTTGCTGTTAAGTAGTTAGCTGGTAATTAGATGGGAGACTGCCCTTCAAGGGCCCTGATGTCTAAAGGCCAAAAATACATGCTCCTACCATCCCTTAACGTGTCCCATGCTTTGCAGATGTTTCTAACAGCTGTGCTCTGCTCTGGCCTGAGGCCGGGCCCAACTCAGCACAGTGTTAGCCCTAGATTCATAGATTCATAGATTAAGGGTCGGAAGAGACCTAGTAGATCTTCTAGCCCGACCCCCCGCCAGGGCGGGAGAACAACAAAAAACCCCAAAAAGAGAAACGGGACTCAAACGAGTCCAGCCAGGTAGGCATCCAGCCTCTTCTTAAAGACCCCCAGGGTAGGGGCCAGCACCACTTCCCTTGGAAGTTGGTTCCAGCTCCTAGCCGCCCTAACTGTGAAGTAGTTTTTGCGGATGTCCAATCTATACCTCCTCTCCATCAACTTGTGCCCATTACTCCTTGTTATGCCAGCGGGCGCTAGGGGAAACAGCGTCTCCCCCAAACCCTTCTGGTCCCCCCTAGTGAGTCTATAGACGGTCACCAGGTCCCCCCTCAGCCTTCTCTTGTGGAGGCTGAATAGGTTCAGGTCCCGCAGTCTCTCACTGTAGGGTCTGCCCTGTTGTCCCCGGATCATGCGGGTGGCCCTCCTCTGGACCCTCTCCATGTTGTCCACATCCCTCTTGAAATGGGGCGCACAGAACTGGACACAATACTCCAGCTGTGGCCTGACCAGCGTCGCGTAGAGGGGGAGGATCACCTCCTTGGCTCTACTCGAGATGCACCTGTGGATGCACGACAAGGTCCGGTTAGCCCTGCCAACCATGACCTCGCATTGTCGGCCCATGTTCATCTTGGAGTCAATAATGACTCCAAGATCCCTTTCTGCCTCCGTGCTCTCGAGTAAGGAGTTCCCCATTGTGTAAGTGTGCTGCTGGTTCCTACTGCCCAAGTGCAGCACCCTGCACTTGTCCGTGTTAAAACGCATCCTGTTCCTGTTAGCCCACCCCTGTAACCTATCCAGATCCCTCTGCAATCTCTCCCTCCCTGCTAGCGTGCTCACCTCCCCCCAGATTTTGGTGTCATCAGCGAATTTAAACAGGTTACTTTCCACCCCATCATCCAGATCGCTGATGAAGAAATTGAACAGCGCAGGCCCCAGGACCGAGCCCTGGGGGACTCCGCTACCCACCTCCCCCCAGGTTGAATATGACCCATCCACCACTACCCTCTGAGTGCGACCCTTCTAACATTCTGCCCTATTATGGGCTACACTTGTACCACTGCCCTCTCACTGAGGCCTCTCTCACTCCACCAGCTCTCACCCAGTTTCTTTCATACCACCCTTCTGGGGCCTTATTCATACCACCCCTCCTTTTTCTGGGGCCACACTCACTCTGCCCTATCCCAGGGGGGGTCCTCGGGCTCGGTTCCCATCACTCTCTGGCCAGCAAGCACACGGTCTTTTGGATATCTCCTGCTACCCTCATCTGAGCGAGCACTGGGCGGTTTGCAGAACACTGGTCTGAATCAGCCTCTGGTCTCTCACCGGGTCACCCACCCAGCTGCTCTCAATCCAGGGGCTTCTGACTTGCCCCATTGTTTCCCTGCAGCTTCTCCTCTGCCTTGCCTCCCAATCCAGCCCATCTGCAGCCTCAGGCACCCAAAAGCTTACTTAGACCTAACATAGCCCCCATACTAGCAGGACCTACACTCAAGCCCCCTACCAAACTCACACCCCTACTCTCCAGGGTCTTATCTCATGCCCCCTGTGTTCACAGAGCCTCACAACTACCACTCTCTACTTGCCCCTCTCTCCAGGGCCTCAGAACTGCCCCTCTCATGCAGGCCTTCAGGTACCCCTCTGCACCCCACTCTGCACCTCTGCCTCCACTGAGGCACATACTCTGCCCCCCACTCTGGGCCTTGGGTCAAACACCCCTGCAGGCTCAGGTGCAACTCATTGGTGTGCCTAGCCCACGACCCTCACTCTCTGGGGTACCACGCCCCACAGAGGCTCAGGTGGCCACAGCTGTGCTTGCCCCCCTCCCCCCGGGCTCAGGTGCCACACCTGGGCGTGCCTGGCCCTCTACTGCCTCAGGTGTTAACCCACCTGAAGGCTGGGGCTGGGGTTAAAATGCCCCTCCTCACCTTTCACTGGAGAAGTAACTGGCTTGGCATTTCCTGGGGGCTCCCATGCCACTAGAAACCCCACTAGGCCACCCTTACCTGGCAGGGTGCAGTTTTTGGTCATGCCCAGGACCAGGAGCCTCCAAACCATCCCCATAAGCTCCTGCTCTTACCTCCTAGTTGTTACAGGAGCAGCAGCTCCACCAGGAGATGTTCTTTCCATGGTGTCAGGCAGCAAAATTGCTGCCTTCAGCTCTGCTGGCCTGTATCTAAAATGGCTGCTCAGAGATGGGGCATCACCTGCCACCAGCTCTTGGAGTGGCAGACACCAGATGTGCTCTGCCACCCACCTTCCCCCTTAAAATGGTTCCTGGGGGAGCTTTTCCCTACTGCTCCGCAAGCTTGTAACAGCCCCAGAGTGGTGAGCACTCTGCTGGTGCTCTGCCACACCCACCCAGGCATTTCAATGTTGGCTGGTACAATACAAAGCTCCTTTCCCCTGACTGGGTAATAATGACAGGAGGCAGCCTGACCATGCGTTTTTAACCCTGTGGAAGGCCAGTCAGCATCTCAAAGGATCATGCTCACATTGGCTCATGGTAATACAATCTACCATGGGCATTAGATAGATGCCCTAGAGCAGGTTGTTTATTGCTTTGACATTCTGAACTACATCCTTCCTGTCAATTACAAATTTCTGGAATAAAGCAGATGCGAGCTTCATTGTACGACAATATAAGATTGCTACTGTTTAGGATTATTTCTATTTACTTTGAAATCACTAGAGGATGTGTACAATGTGCAGCTTTGGCCCATTATTTGTTCCCTGGGGCAGCAGCCAGCCAGAGGAATCAGAATGCAAAAAATTTCCATGTTCATTTAGTCATGCCTGTCAACCTTTGCCCAGAGAGACTTGATCTGTGGTGAGGACCAAGGGATAATTAGATTTCTGCCTGTTCAAGTTTAGAATCTTTATGACTCAGCACAGCTGGCTCAGTTAAGTAGCATTCTCGTGCTGTTCAGGGACTTCACTAAAGAAAACTCAAGCTCATTACACAAGAGCAAAGGAAAGTATATTATTAAGTGATATGCTGTTTTTTTCCACATTAAAAAGGAATTAAAAACAGTCTAGCTCACTCAATTATCCCTGTATTTAGGTGCCTATAATAATGATTTTCTTGGAACAAAAGTAAACTTTACTTAACTGTACCTCTGTGGCTTTGCCCATTTACTCTATAAAAAGGTGCTTTTCCTGGACCAAGAGATTTCATCATATATTTTGACAAGAAATAAGCAGCCTGAAAATAATGCTATTTAAATTCCTCTCCACAACACCTGTGTGTACACACACACACACATGCACACAATCATAGCACATTGTGACATTCGGAATAATAATACATGCTAAGAAACTGGAGGCCTAGGGCCCTATCTCAGTGGGAGAAGACGGTCTCAATACCTCAAAGAGATGACTCTCATTAGATACTGTAGCATGAGTGAGTTCTAAGATTTTCAGAAGTGATTCATGATTTCAAGTGTCTCAGTTGGGTATTCAACCTGATTTACCTGGAATGGACCCAATTTTCAAAACGATATTAGTAGAATGAGTTGAAAATCGTCTCTCAGGGTCTGATTCTGTCCCACTTTTTGGGCATTTAAGTGGATTCATACGCCCAAGTACAAGTCTGTTCTACCTTGTTCAGGTTCTGAAAATTCATTCGTGCATCTATATTTGTAATATGCCATCAAACTAACTTTAAGCCTGAGCCACAAAATAGCAGTGGGGAGGAAGAGGATGCATCCAACTTTTGTATTACTGTTGTTTCAGGGCTTAAGCAGTGTGGAATAGAATCACATTTAGGTCCCTGCGGATGACTAATAGGTGGAATAGACTCTGGACCCCAGGTACTTCTCCATAATGTGGTCCAGACAATACCAGTACAAGGTTCCCCTTACTACTTCCAGGTGGGGTTAAGTGTTTGCAGAAGCCTATTGCAGTCTGTTTGCATGTAACATAAATATGTTTTAAAGATATAGTTAGTATATGTAGACTAGGGGTTGGTCAGAAAAAGGTCCTTAGGTAAAACTCCTTTGAAATGGAAGTGTTTGGATTTCAATTGTTGCATCCAAAATGCCCCCTGTAGTTTTGATTCCATATCAAGGACATGGAATCAATATCAGGTTCAGGTTTGATTCCATATCAGGTTCAGGTATGGGTGAAATCTTAAAAGAACTGCAAAGTAGCTTCTTCCCTGGTTTTTTCCTTCCTATCTTTGTCTTCCTAAATGTACCTGTGATAAAAAAAACCCTCAGATGTGGGGGGTTTATATAGAGTAGACTTTTTATACCTGAGCTGAGACATGCATTTGAATATGAGGCAGGTTTTTAAGAAGTTATTTCAAGTGCTACTAAATTGGATGTGAATAAAAATGTAGGATTATAGTATGGGATTGGAGGATATGACTCTTGCTGTTTGATACCTTTTTCTGTTTAATGGATTTTTTGTTTCATATGTTTTATTGTTGATGAAGGTGGTAACTTGTAACTTTTAAAATCAGTGTTTATTCCAATTTAATATAGAATGACATCTGGGTAATAAACCCAACAGTCGTCTGTATGTCTTCCTGCAATGAACGCATGAACTATTGCCTTCTGAGAATGTAATGTCTGTCCTGCTAAAATGTGTCTGACTAGCTTTCCAGTGGTCACACCCTA